TTATTAATTGCTATATTAATATTAATTTTAATATCCATAAATCATTACTACTATAAATTATTCTACACGTTTTGTAAAAATCATAGATATGTTTTGTCAATAATGAGCATGAACAAGAATTGTAACAATACAAATAAGTCTTCGACTACTAAATGATAATGTTGATTATCGATATTTAGACATATTATTATGCATTACATCTTTTATATACATCGTCGAGAAATATTCATTATCATTCGCATTTGCATAATGCTTCTAATCTCTTTCGGTCTCATTGACGCGGTTTTGAGATCATAATTCATCATCGATAGCACAAAAAACATTGAATGGCGACAACCGCGAATGATAACAGGACGTATCGGAGACGAGCCATCGATTTCACGTCAAATTCTCCAAACATGACGACCATGACGTGTCAACGTAACAGGATAGTATCACCCGCGGGAATAGTTTCGATCCGTCGATACATATTGTTGCGTTCGGGGATTTTTTCCCGAAGACGGCAGGAAGACGCACGGCGTCTGAAAAAGACCAGGCCAGCATCACGCGTGGCTATTCGCTGGCAGATGAAAGAAACGGCCGAAGACAAACTCGGAGCCTCGGCGACGACCGCGCGAAGGCGCGCTATTGATTTTCTGTCATCTTCTCGGGTTTACGACATCTCACCGCGTTTCGACACTACCAGGAACCTATCAGCATGTCACGCTTGTTTATCCCGGACAGCCGGGCCCGCCCCGCGCACGCGGCGCGTATTTGTTTGTCGAAGAGAACGACGGGCGGATGCTGCCTGGATATCGCGCAAAAGCGGTGGCATCGTACAGCATGAAATTTATTCAATCTATACATATACTATACTATATGTATAGAAGGATAGAAATGTTCAATCTGTGCTAATGTAGAAACATTATACATCCTCTTCTTGCGTACATATGTATTAAGATTATTTAAATTTAATAGATTTATTTGAAATTAGGATTCTTGAAAGCTATTTCCGGGAAAATTATATATTTATATAAAAATTATTTAAAAATAAGAACAAATATCGTATCTCTCTCCTACAACCTGTTTGTTGTGCTAAACAAGATGTTGTTCTAAAAGAGAAAAAAAAAAAGATAAAGAAGGAAGAGGAAATTTAATATTAATTAAAATTAATAAAAATTTTCTTAAAATTCTGCCTTAAAATTCTATTTTTGTAAAGACAAAAAAAACAAAAGATGTCATGTGCTCCCCCTACTTAATAAAATTATCTATAGACAATAAAATATAAATAAATAGAAAAATATAATTTTATAAGATATGTGACGCATTCTCGAAGAAAAACGTCTGCAAAAATTGCATATCGTTCTATCCGTTTGATAATCCAATCAAGTCCAATCTTTCAAATTGTGTATCGAGTTATTCTTTCAAATATTATTATCAAGTATTATTATTTGCTTGATGCGCATTTGAGGAAATTGAGAGTCCTCAGATTCTTCAAGAATGCGAGAGAGATTAAACAAGATGTTGTTCTAAAAGAGAAAAAAAAAAAGATAAAGAAGGAAGAGGAAATTTAATATTAATTAAAATTAATAAAAATTTTCTTAAAATTCTGCCTTAAAATTCTATTTTTGTAAAGACAAAAAAAACAAAAGATGTCATGTGCTCCCCCTACTTAATAAAATTATCTATAGACAATAAAATATAAATAAATAGAAAAATATAATTTTATAAGATATGTGACGCATTCTCGAAGAAAAACGTCTGCAAAAATTGCATATCGTTCTATCCGTTTGATAATCCAATCAAGTCCAATCTTTCAAATTGTGTATCGAGTTATTCTTTCAAATATTATTATCAAGTATTATTATTTGCTTGATGCGCATTTGAGGAAATTGAGAGTCCTCAGATTCTTCAAGAATGCGAGAGAGATTCAACTATAGGAAAAATGAAATGGGAAGTTTGAGAGGGAAGCAGAAATGTGTGTGCGTCGAGCGAAAGCGAACGTAGCGAAAGCGCGTAATACATTCCTGATACCAACCAAACTATTCGCATTACAAAACGAGCAACAAGTCTCTCATTTCTGATCAACTTTCTCTTAATTATTCCATTTATAAAGAAACGAGCTTTAATTAAATTGGAGAAATTATGATTAAAGAATATTTCAGATAAGATATATAAAACGGTATATGTACATACATATTTCTCTAAATTAAAATTTTGTCCAGAACAAGTTGAAATTTGATAGCAATAATGTCATCTATCGCACATTATACATATTTAATGGAATAATTAATTGGTCGATCGGGATTGCAGTGGACCATCCAGAACCAATCGCCTGTCGATAGCTCGTCAATCGAGAATTCAAGCGTACGACCAGCCGCTTACTAGGCGAACAGATTTCGGGGTTGGCGTTTAACGCGATCCCCACCAACTCAAAACCACGTGACTGTCGTCCTTGCAGGATCAGGCTAGTAGTCTTTTAGACAATTGGCACGTGGGTGCCCTCTTGTCCGAAAATGTTCCGTTCTAATATCGCCGGGCTTGCGGAATCTGATAAAGCTGTCGAGCTTTAAAACTCACTTCTTATTGCATATATGCTATGTAACTTTGATCTTTTTACACCGTTTATCGCGTAGAATCAAAATTATATACTATAATATTAATAATAAAATTGACGTATTAATCAAAGAGTTCTTGCAAAACTACACTTCGAATATGATAAATGCTGAAACTTGAAAACTGAAACGTATAAAAAAATATCTATTAAAATGTAAACGTGAAAAAAGATGCTTATATTCTCGTGCAAATTTACACACCACGAGTTTCATTATACTTAATGCATATCTTTAGGATTAAAATAACCGCGTGTAATTTTCTTATCACTTGCAATTTTGAGTTAATGAGATTTTTATTCCAGTCTCTGTATTCATCAGATTATTTCTATTCTGCGAAGCAAAACGGAATGATCAACATGTTGAATATATTACATTTTTAAAACGTTACATTAATTTAAAAAAAATAGTCCGAAAATTATAAGTTATTGACTAAATTATGTACCATCGTAGCTTATCGCCTAAATAATTGAGATGAATGCAACGATACTTCAACAGTAATTAAATTACTGTTTTTGTATAAGATAAAACAATTAAAGTCAAAATAAAATCTTGCAATTCGATATAAGCAATTCTGCAGTCATATAAGTTTCTATCTAAGTAGCTTCGCTAATTTAGGATCTAACTTATAATTAGTTATACACGCATAACTATCAGCTGAGAACCGGACAATGGAGAGAATTCATTAACGGATTAAAATACTATCCGTGTAAGGGGCGGTTATCGGAAAACCCGTGTGGGAGTTATGCCAACTGTTGCTTCGGACGTCGTGCGTCGATACAATTTGCGATGGCGGCGGCGCGAGCAGCGTCGCGCGCCGATAGATTGGATACATCGATACACCCTGGTTGTATCGCTGACGTGGGGGAGGGGGTGGGGGAGCGGGGGC